TGAGGCATTAGGAAGAGGAGGCAACTGGGGGAATCTGTGCCAGGTCTTGCTCACCCAGCCCACAACTCTAGGAGATCTATTAATTCATTCAGAGCAAGTCGGAGCACCTAACCAAACCTCTCTTTATGGTTTTTAATGATATCGTAATGGATTGCGTCGTAAAACATGGGGCTGTTTAAATAACCCATCATTAAGCAGAGGGGCCCTTCTCTGATTGGCAGTCAGCTCCAATGGCAGAAATGCGTTTTGCTTAATGCTGCAGTATGAAATTGCCTTTTAATGCATCATAGCAATTAAGCATTTTGCTTAAGCACCAGTCAAAAGGGGGGCTTAGACAGATAAGTCATCCGCTTATCAAAATGGCTCTGTGGGGCCTGGAGCCGCCTCCCGCTCCCCATCCCTCCCCAGCTCACCCACTGGAGGAGGACAGAGAGGACTTTTAATAGCATGGAGTGAAGAGTTTATTAGCCCTCACCTAGTCCGGCGTGTCTGGTTACGGATATGCTATCGATCGGGCTGAGTGAGACATTAAGGGGATGCCATTATGTCAATAGACGTTGATGGCCTTGAAACACAATCCATCTCCTGTCGGGAAGTAGGAGAGACAAGGCTTGTGCGTGCCATTAGAGAAGTCTTTGTTCAGGCAGGGGGGGAAAACCAACCTTCAAGGAGTGAGAAATATACCTTCACATTTCTTGAAGGTCAACTCTTCTCCTGTACATGAGTAGCAATGCCAGTTTTGGATATAGCCTAAAGCTGCTTTGGTTGAATGTAGAAAGCTGTGGATGTTCTGGCCCATCTAGTTCAGTTTTATCTACAATGCCTGGCAGAAACTCTCCTGGGCATGAGATATGGGTTTCTCCTGGTCCTACCTGGATATCCTGAGAGCTGAATGAACCTGGGACCTGCTGAGCAGATGGCTTTCCCCCAGATATCCAGTTCCATGCTCCCCACAGGTTCAGAAGTCAGACCTTTTCCTTTATCTCCCACCCCTTCTCCCATTCACATCAAGGGGCAAGCAAGGATATGGGTATTATAAGTAGTTATGGGATGAAGGGCCTAATTCCATCACTCAGTCCGAAGCCCGCTCCATCCCACTTTTTAGAAAGAATGCACAGAAATTGGCCATTCAAACTGAATGCCTTTGTATGAATTCTATGCACACTTTTTACATAAAAGTTCAGTTTCCACATTGTGTTTCCCCATAAAATATGGGGTTTTTAAATGTAAAATGTGATTTTGTGCACGTGCGTTCTTTGCACACTGAAACTGCCTTGCAAAATCCAGCAAAGGTTGCAATCTGATTCTAATCTGCAAGCAAGTTTGGGAACATGGGATCAGATCCATCCATCGTGAAAAGCAGTCTGAACAAATGCCTCCTCCATTTCTCCTAGGTATAACTATGTGGTAAAATCCTGTAGGTAGCTGATGTAGTGGAGATTCAGCACATGGTCAGCTGGCCTACAGAGGTGTCAAATTGGTAGGTGTTGGGGAGGGCATCTGTCTAAAACAGGTTTCCTCAACTTCGGCCCTCCAGATATTTTTTGGCCTACAACTCCCATGATCCCTAGCTAGCAGGACCAGTGATCATGGATGCTGGGAACTGGTAGTCTCAAAACATCTAGAGGGCCCAGGTTGAGGAAGCCTGGTCCAAAACATTTGGGAGGCAAGACGCTTCAGTCTCTAGTCAAAATTAGGGTTGTTGCCTGATTAAACAAATGTGTAGATGATTGATGCAGTCAATGAAATTTACATACTTTTTCACTTTTCTAAAACTATAGTTTGCAGCGTGGGGGAAATCATTTGTTTTTTGATGATAGATGCATACCCTGCAGCAAACGCTGTCCTAGATGGGTCAAGCCCTCCTAGAACAGAATCATAAAGCTGGAAGGAACCTCAAAAGTAACTTTGCTGATTCTGCTATAAGCATCCTTATTAGGTAGACGTTTAACCTCTCCTTATGAACTCTCCTGTTTCAGAGTGAACAAGGAATGCTTGTTTTAAGATGGTGAATGCCATCTGCAGGTTGTTGGACCATCTTTCATCATCCCCAACAAACATGGTCAATAGTCAAGGATGATGGGAGTTGTAGTCCAGCCACAACTGGGGGTGGGTGGGAAAAGGTTAGCCACCGCCTATAGGTTAAAAGTTGCAGTCCTAGTATAAATGAGTGACTGTTTCCAATCAAGGAATGGATGTTTGGACCTGTGTAGGGTGAAGTCCAATGTTCTGATCCGAGAATAGCTTTTGATCTTGCAGAGGCATCTGCTAATGAAAGAGAAGTCAATTTGGTGCCATCAAGATAGACTACAACTCAACATCATCCTTGATAATTGACCATGCTGTTTGGGGCTAATGAGCGGTGGTTCAAAAGCAACAGATGGGCACTACCTAGGGGAGGCATTATTCTGCAGTTCTGCCTCCCTTGGTGCCATCATCTAAAGCAGTGATTCCTGAACTCTTTTGGGCAGCCACCCAGTTGGTCTCATAAACTCATCTCCAGAGCCCCTGACCCTACCCTATAGAAAACATTTTTCATTGGTGGCCTGTGTTTTGTTAGCTCAAAAAACTGAAAACGAGTGAGGTCCAAACTAGAGAAGAATGGCAACTTAAACTGATGGAATATGCGCAGCTTGTGGATCTAACGTATAGAATAAGAGAACAAGAAGAACATACATTTAAAAGAAGATTGGGAAATGTTTATTGAATATATGGGAGGAAATTGTGTACATTTGAAAAATGCTGGCAGCATTAAGATAAATTCAACAGCGTAAACAATGTTTTTTGTTGGATGTAATAATGGAATATGGGACACGGGTGGCGCTGTGGGTTAAACCACAGAGCCTAGCACTTGCCAATCAGAAGGTTGGCGGTTCGAATCCCAGCGACGGGGTGAGCTCCCGTTACTCGGTCCCAGCTCCTGCCAACCTAGCAGTTCGAAAGCACGTCAAAGTGCAAGTAGATAAATAGGTACTGCTCTGGCGGGAAGGTAAACGGCGTTTCCATGCACTGCTCTGGTTCGCCAGAAGAGGCTTATTCATGCTGACCACATGCGATGATCAAGGTGTCTCCCCTGCCAGGTAAGTACCTGGCAGGGGAGACACCTTGATCATTCATGCTGGCCACATGACCCGGAAGCTGTATGCCGGCTCCCTCGGCCAATAAAGCGAGATGAGCGCTGCAAGCCCAGAGTTGGCCACGACTGGACCTAATGGTCAGGGGTCCCTTTATCTTTACCTAATAATGGAATACTGAATGGTTTAATTTATGTAAAATATGCAGGGATTTATGATATGCAAAATGAACCATGGAAAGAGAAGAAGGGAAGTCACTGACATTTTAAGGTTGTCTAAACAAATATTCTAAAGTGAAAAACAGAAAATTTAATTTGTGTGTGTGTGTGTGTGTGTAGAGAGAGAGTGAGAGAGCATTATTCAGAAGAGCAGATTTCGCAACCCACCAAGAAAGATAACAACACAATTAAATTCGAAAGCGTCACGATTAATTGCACACCTATTCAAAATCCAATTAAAACTATTTAGCTTAATTAATTCAACAAAATTAATGAACTCGACCCACTGATACTGCCCACTTTTATCTCCCACCCCCCAACCCCAGGTATTCCCACTGTTTTACCCAGTGGTTCTGATGCTCTGGAACAGATGCAGGGGACACAATGGGAAGGGAGAATCACACAAAACTGCCTCTCTTCTTATATTGATGGACGCAGATGCTGACTTAAAAGCTATTCCTCGAGCAGGACGGCAGCACTGGATTTTCACCCGTCGTCTAGAGTGCTGAATAATGCAGCCAGGCAGTTGGCATATCTCCCCCTCCCCTCGCTCCCATCCCTACCCCGCCATTTAAGGCCAAAAGAAAAGAAGAGAAAATTGGGGAGAATTCTGAGCCAGCAGCTGGGAGGAAATGCTCTGAATGAGAAGTGTTTGCATGTGCATCTGGGGAGGCGGTCATTTGGTCTTCTGATTTCGCCTCCTCTTAGGAAAACAAATGTTGCTTTCCACAATAATAACTTCCCATCTTTGATTGCAAGGATTCTGAATGAATCCCGGGAGTTTGTCGATTTCAGCTATTCATGAAGGCAGCAAATGCGACTTTCAGACTCTTCCCTTCTTGTTGTCGTCAGCTGTTGCTGGGTCATAAGGAAACCACAGCAAGGCTGTGTCACTGGATTTCACTTGGATTGAAATTCAGAATAGATTTAGAGGTTCATCATCATCATCATTTTTCCCATCACTTGGTAGTCACAGAAATATAGGCCTCATCCAGTGATGGGCTGTATTCAGCCCTGGAGCGCATGGTGAAATGAGAGCGAAGAGAGCTCCCCTGAGCATCTGCAGAGAGCAGTTTCATTTGCAATGAATAACCACAGTGCTTCGCTAGTTCAGCTAGGATGAGGATTAGACATTACCCACCAATGGTGTATAGTGTCTGGAAAAGGAGGGGGTCCATTTCTGAATGACACTGGTGCATATGTGAAGCAAACAAACATGGAGGGGGTGGCGGTGGCTGTGTCTTGAAGTTTCCCAAGCCTCAGGGAGGTTAGATTCGTCTCAACTAGGGCCAGGGCCTTTTCAGCACTGGACCCAATCTGTTACAAGGGCCCTGTGAGACTCGACATCTTTCCCCAGGGCCTGCAAGACAGAGCTGTTCCACCTGGCCTTTGGTTTGGACTCAGTCTGACCCTTATGTTGCCCTCCCCTTATGGTCTTGATTTATCAGCTACTTTAAAATGAGGCTGGATTTTAAATTGCATTTTAACTTGTATTTTAAATTGGTGTTTTTTCCCTCTCCCCCCCCCCCTACTATGTTTTTACTGTGATTTTATTGGTGTTAGCCACCATGAGCCCGGCTCTGGCTGGGGAGGGCGGGGTATAAATAATAATAATAATAATAATAATAATAATAATAATAATAATAATAATAGTTCAAAGCATGGCAGCTGAGGCTTTTCTTTTTCTTTCCCCCTGGCTGGTCCTCAGGTGGTTGGAACCCCTGGTCACTGTGGGGAGAATGCACCCGGGACTGCGGAGGAGGCCTGCAGACTCGCACCCGGACCTGCCAGCCCCTTCCGGACGATGGCATCATCTGCGAGGGAGTCTTAGAAGAAGGCCGGCTGTGCAACAGGAAAGCTTGCAACCGTAAGTGGCTTGTGTTTCCAGCTCATCAGCTTCGTGATCCTGACAACTGTGCAGAACTGTTGCTCACATGCAGGCCCCATTAAGGTTTGCACCGGACTGTGGGTTGCGTCGAATGAAATCATTACATTGTCACAAAGACTTCTGCTGCACAAAATAAGTTTCCCTGCCTTAAGCCGTGCATCTCTCTTCTAGCCACGTCTACATCTGTAGTAGACTGGAAACAAGCGTCCATAGCCGCTATGAAAGCGTCTGAATTCTGGAGGGCGGGATCATTGTCGCGCCATAAATTGCGCAGCCAGGATCTTGCTTCTCCATGCAAGTGAGTTATGATAAATCCCACTTTTTCCTCCTCATCTCTAAAGTCCTTCCGCAGCAGTTTGAGCGCAAAAACTACATCTGCTCTGAAATTAGGATACTGCTGTAGGTTTCCATCAAAATGGGCGACAATGCTGCCCCCCCCCGCTTTCCGAGGCCAACTCCCTCCGGTCTGGGTCCCGGCAGCCCTTCCTTGCCCAATTTTTCCCACCTGGTTCGCAGATCCTCGCAGAACTTCGCTGCTTCCTCCTCTCTCTTCCTGGAAACTTCCAGCTCTGCGTAAAGCGTCTCAACCGCTTTTTCCAGCTGTGCCACCTTCCCTTCTGTAGTCATCTTTCCCTCTCTTCGTGAGCTCGCAAAACACCAAGTCTTGCCCCTCTCCGCGCCAACTCGCGCTGCGAGGGTTAATTTTTATTGAGACGGGACTTACTGTCAGCGGCTGCCTCAGGTCCCAGCTCACAAAGGACCAACGCCAGTTGCTCTTTATAAACAAAAGTCTTTATTGTGGTTCATTGTTGGTTTGACATCTGTGGCGCGCAGCGCTACGTCTGAGTCCTTAGACCGGCGAAGTCCCGTCTGAATCCGCCCCTCCTTTACACCAGTTCAAGACCCGAGCTTTGCTCCACCTCTTCCTTTCCTCCCTCTGCTCCTTTCGCCTCCGGGTCCTCCTGCCCTCTGGGGTCCCAACCCTCCTGGACTCTTCGGAGGCGGATTCTTCTGACTCCTCCCCCTGTCTCCGGCGGGCTTTGGGACCTGGCTCCCAATCCGGATTTTCTGCTGTTCCTCGCGCCTCTACATTTGAACTTGGCGCGTGCGCCCAGCCGCCCACTTTCCTCCTAACGGCTACACTGCTCCCTTCACTGCTTTCTCCTTCCGGGAGGCTGGACGGCCCTGCTCTCTCCTCCGCCCCTCCACTCTCTGACGGAGGCGTGGTCAGTCCTGCCTCACTCCCTCCTCCTGCAGGAGGAGGCTTTTGTTCTAATCTGTGGGATTCTTCCCCCCCCCGCTGCGCTCTGGTGGGGAAGCTACCCCTGATTTCCAGCTGCCGCTTGGCGACTCCCCACTGGCCCCCCTTGCCCTGACCCTGGGGGCCTCCTTCTGGGAATCTTCTGATTCGCTGGAGAGACTCAGGGAATCTCCCTGGTCACTGTCACACCCTCCTGCGCTCCCCTCCGATTGTTCCCCTTCGCTCTCCATCTCCTCCTTCTCCTGTGGCTCAGTCCCTGAGCCCCTGACAACTCCCATCAGCTCCAGAGGCAATAGGAACATAAAGAGCACAAGAATAGCTCGCTGGATCAGGCCAGCAGCCCATCTAGTCCAGCATCCCGTGTTCACAGTGGCTGACCTGTGGGAAACCTGTGAGCGGGATGTGAGCACAAGACCACTGCCCCTTCCTGTGGCTTCCAGCTTTCCCTAGAAGCACAAAACGAAGATGCTTCATCTCTAAAAACATGTACAAGAGATGAAGGGAATTGCAGCCTTTAAATGTCCACCTGAAAGTTGCATTAATTAATGGTCATGGTGTGAATATTGCTGGCTGATCAGATTGATAACAGAGCATTGTGGAAATTGCATCTCTGTCCAATTGACTGAATGCTGGTTTTGCAAGCAACCCAACAGCTTGCCAGAGGATAAGGCTGTCCATAGACCTGTGGAAATAGTGGCGATGATAAATTGTCATGGTAAGTTAAGAGCCTGCTGGCTCAAGCCCATGACCCATAGGCTCCAGCATCCTGTTCTCACAGCGGTCAGCCGGATGCCTCTATCGGGAAGCCCACAATCAGGATTCGAACACAAGACCACTCTCTCCTCCTGTGGTTTCTAGCAACTGCTATTCAGAAGCATTGTTGCTTCCAACTGCAGAGGCTAGAGGCCGTGAATTTGTCTAGTTTCCTTTTAAAGCTATCCAAGTTGGTGACCATCCTGTGGCAGTGAGTTCCACAGTTAAACCATATGCTACATGAACAAGTCCTTTTCTTTTATCTGTCCTGAACCTCCCAATGTTCAGCTTCGTGGGGCACCTATGAGTTCTACTGTTATGACGGAGGGAGAAAAGCTTCTCTCTATCTACTTGGCGAGTTCAAAACCTCTGGAGAGCACCATGTTGGGGAAGGCACACAAAAGTTGTTGGTGTGTCTATTTAATTATTTTTAAAAGGAAATTATAACTTTCTTCAAAAGGAAAGGAAAAGTAGACTTCCTTAGCAGAGTTACAGGTAGGTAGCCATGTTGGTCTGCCGTAGTCGAAACAAAACAAAAAAATAAAAAAATTCCTTCCAGTAGCAGCTTAGAGACCAACTAAGTTTGTTATTGGTACAGTGGTACCTTCGGTTACATACGCTTCAGGTTACATACGCTTTAGGTTACAGACTCTGCTAACCCAGAAATAGTGCTTCAGGTTAAGAACTTTGCTTCAGGATGAGAACAGAAATCGTGCTCGGGCAGCAACAGGAGGCCCCACTAGCCAAAGTAATCTTCAGGTTAAGAACAGTTTCAGGTTAAGTACGGACCTCCGGAACGAATTAAGTACTTAACCCGAGGTACCACTGTATGAGCTTTCATATCTGAAGAAGTGTGCATGCACACGAAAGCTCATACCAATAACAAACTTAGTTGGTCTCTAAGGTGCTACTGGAAGGAATTGTTTTATTTTATTTTATTTTATTATTTTATTTTTCCTTAGCAGAGTCAGGGATGCAACAGCACTTGCTCAGAAAAGGTTGAGCCCTGGAAGGACTAGAATGATTTCACACGTTGTTTGGCATTTCCATAAAGTTAAATCATATTGTAGCTGGAATCTTTAAATGAAAACTTTCCACTGCATTAGGCTTTCATCTTTTCATTCCCTTTGACTAATTTGTCTAGACGGGCAGAGGGATCCTTGCCAAAGTTTCCCCTTGTTGACTCGCCTCTATCTGTGCTCTATCAGCTCTCCAAATAGGCGTGGGACTGAGGGCCAGGATTAGATGAGACGGCGGGAGGTTTGTGATCTGGATCTCATGCAGGTTTTTATCCTATTTTTTTAAAAAATGAATCAAATGCACCTGTAAATGCAGAAGGAGGGAGATTTGATATTTCCTCCTGGGTCCATTTCCAATTCTTTCAGCAGCTCCAGGATGGGGGTGGGGGGTGGGGTGGTCCTCTTCCTCTTCCCTTTTCTATTTTGTTTGCTTGTTTGTTTAAAGGAGAACCTCATCTACTTGTGTCATAATACAGAATAGCTAAGGCACTGGTTTTCCGTAGCATCAGAGCAGCAATCAATTGCTCCCGTTCCAAATCCAGTTCAATTTCCCAGAGGAATGGCAGCATCCCAGCCTTTGCACTTTAAACAGAGTCTTCCAAGCAGTTCCCTCTCCCTCTGTTGTTGTTTAGTCATTTAGTCGTGTCTGACTCTTTGTGACCCCCTGGACCAGAGCACACCAGGCACTCCTGTCTTCCACTGCCTCCCGCAGTTTGGTCAAACTCATGCTGGTAGCTTTGAGAACACTGTCCCATCATCTCATCCTCTGTCTTCCCCTTCTCCTTGTGCCCTCCATCTTTCCCAACATCAGGGTCTTTTCCAGGGAGTTTTCTCTTCTCCTGAGGTGGCCAAAGTCTTGGAGCCTCAGCTTCAGGATCTGTCCTTCCAGTGAGCACTCAGGGCTGATTTCCATCAGAATGGATAGGTTTGATCTTCTTGCAGTCCATGGGACTTTCAAGAGTCTCCTCCAGAACCAGAATTCAAAAGCATCCATTCTTCGGTGACCAGCCTTCTTTATGGTCCAGCTCTCACTTCCATACATCAATACTGGGAAAACCATAGCTTTAACTATGCGGACCTTTGTCAGCAAGGTGATGTCTCTGCTTTTTAGGTTTGTCATTGCTTTCCTCCCAAGAAGCAGGCGTCTTTTAATTTCATGACTGCTGTCACCATCTGCAGTGATCATTGAGCCCAAGAAAGTAAATCTCTCACTGCCTCCATTTCCAATTATGGAGGCAGAACGCAGCCATTAGGACCATCAATTGCCCTCTCCTGCCCTGTGTTTTCGTATGCAGGGAAGGTTGCTGTCCTTTCTGCAGTGCTGAAATGAGATTTGGCTCCTGTTCCAGCCACCCTCTCTGTGTGGGATTGAGGGACTGGCATAGGACACTGTAATTTGCCCCAGGCTGCAAACATGTATTGGGCACAGTGCCCACCCAGAATTTAAGCCAATGTGCCATGCTGTCAGGTCTCTGCCCCGAGAAAGTTACTAGCTGGTGGCATCCACAAGGGAGGAAAGAAATAAACAAAGACCAGCCAACACCTTCCGCAGCCTCAGATTCCAACCCAAGAAAAGCAATAAAGGGCACTAGCATTTCATAGGTGGCGTTAGCTTTTGCATATAAATTCAGGCTTCCGAGTGTCTTTGTAGGCAAAAGTCTGATGCCCCCAGGGTCTTGGTGAGAATTACTGTTTATTGCAGATTGAAAACAGAATTACTTCAGGTTTAACAACACCCATTTTCCTTTCCCCCAGCTGGTGTCTTTTCTTTCCGTCCAGCCAGTTTGGTGCTGTTGTTGTTGTGTGTGGTTTTTTTTTTTGGGGGGGGGAGAGAAAAGCCAGTCTGTAGGACAGCATCCAGAGTTTGTAGTAATTTCTGTTTATTGCTTGCTCGAGGCAAAGAACCCAGCGATCCCTTCCTTGCTAATTCAGACACGGAGACTCTG